CGCGGAATGGACAAGGAAGACGCTGGCGATTTGCCTGTTGGCGCATGCGCTGTTGCGTCTTAGCCATCTGGTCGCGTGCCTTGACAAGAAGCTCTTGCATCCGACGCAAGAAAAGAAGATGGTCGTCGCTCTCGGCCGTGCGTGGAGTGATCGTGTCCAACGGTGACGTGACCGGCGAGCCGTGCTCGAACTCGAAAGGCGATATCCCAATAGCCGGGTGGAATCCCTCTCCGTCTGGCCATCTGTCTGAGGGTGGCGAGTTGAACTGGGCTTGAGAGATGAGCCCCATCGCTTGATGAGCGCCAACCAAAAATCAGACATGAACCGAGTGTCACTGTCGCAGACGATCTCCTTGGGGTAACCCTTGGTGCGAATCCAACCGGCGTACAGAACCTCGGCCAACTCCGGTGCCTTGGCATGATAGCGACAAGGCAAGAACATGGCGAACTTGGTGAGTCGGTCGACCACTGTGAGAATCCCATCCACTCCGGTCTTGTGCTTGGGGAACAAGCCGGTGATGTCCATGGCAATCGCTTCCCTTCGCCTCAACGGGACTGGCAATGGTCGTAACTCGCCGTACGGACGGTGCTTGCGGGATTTGCAGCGTCGGCAAACCTCGCATGACTCACAATAGCACGTGACGTCGCCGAGAAGGCCGGGCCACCAAAATCGCTGGCGAAGTCGGCCAATCGTGCGATTGACTCCAAAATGTCCAGTGGCGGGAGCGTCGTGGAACTCGCCAAGAAGCCGTGTACGCAAGTGAGGATCACTCGGTATGCAAAGAAGGTCCTTCCCCCGCGTGTGGACAAGCAAGTACCCCTCTTGGATCTGGTAGTGAGAAGGAGCCGGATTAGGAGAGGAACAATTCGCGTACTCGTCGCGGAACTCGGGATCGGCTTGGTAGCCGCGGATGAAGCTGTTCCGCAGGTCATCGTCAATCTCAAAAGTCGAGTAGACCGCGGTACAATGATCCGGACGCCGTGAAAGAGCATCCGCAAAACGGTTCGACTTCCCGGGAATGTGATCGGGAAAGAAGTCGAACTGGTCGATGAAAGCCATCAATCGAGCGATGGTGTTGTTGACGGTGTCTTGGGTCTTGTAGAAGACCAACGTATTGTTGTCCGTTACCTAGCGAAATTGGCTTCGACCAAGGAGGAAGTGCCGCCACCGCTTGAGCGCATGGACAAAGGCGAGGAGCTCCTTCTTGCGTGCATCGTCAATGGAATGCACGAGTGGCACTTTCTTGCTGAAGTACTCGACCGGGTGCCAGTCCACACCATCATGTTGCTCGAGGACTGCACCAATGCCATAGCCTGATGCATCCGTAGTGACACGTGTAGGCGCGAGCGGGTCGTATATCCGCAAGACCTCCGCAGACAATAGTGCGGCTTTGAGAGCGAGGAATGATCCCCGCGCCTCCTCTCCAAAGTCAAACGACCTATCCTCGCACTGAAGCTTGATCAAGCGGGCCGCAATCTTGGAGTAGCCTTTGATGAAGCGCTGATAGTAGCCGGTAAGACCGAGGAACGAGCGGACATCCGTGACGTTCCGAGGCTCCGGCCACTCTTGGACGGCCTGAATCTTCTCCGATAGCGGGCTGATGCCCTCCGGTGTGACAAAATGGCCCAAGTATTCCAGCTCTTGCCGGACAAATTCGCACTTGTCGCGGTTGGCCTTGTACTTGGCACGACGGAGCGTCTCCAACACTCGTCGAAGATGTCCAAGATGATCCTCAAATGTCCGACTGTAGACGAGAATATCGTCTAAGTAGACCAGCACGAACCAGTCCAACATTGCACGAAACTCATTGGTCATCGCCGCCTGGAACGTCGCCGGGGCGTTGGTGAGGCCAAAAGGCATGACCACCCACTCAAAATGCCC